GAGAGAGAGAGAGGTGCCAAAACTCATTTTGCGATGAGATTTCCAGCACGGTTGGAGCAAATCTTGTTGCAAATTTTAAGTTTTACAGTACAATTGGAGACAATCTTATTGAAGCCAAATTGAGTCGAATACGTCGTTTTCAAACTTGTGCTTACTTAATAATGAGCATGTTTGGCTCAGATGATCATTTAATAAATCTAGTCAATTAAACTCCGTTCGTTTGAATTAAATTTCCATTTTATGTTTTATTGTATGATTGAGTGAAAACTAACTTTTCACGAATCAAACTGAATTGCACTTCCTAAAAAATAATTTCTAGTAGTATTGGGTAGAAACTAGAAAGTCATGTTACATTGGGAAATTTATAAATTGCTAAAAGATAATGGAATACCTACCCAAATGAATGGACGGACATTCTTAAGTCCACGATTCTCTTTTGTATTCCTCTTGTATATATATACTTTGTCGTACAACATGATTAATCATTCAATTCTACTTATATTGCCCTATGCTTCTATTATGAAGTATGGGTCAGAGATTTTGTGTACAAAGTTAGAATAGAGACACAAGTGGCCTCACTTTCTGACCCTTTTCTTTTATTAATAATTTTTATTATTCATTTATATTTTTTATGCATACAACAACGGGATAATGTTCCTTTACTCACGATGGACACATGTTAATATGTCCACCGTTTATGTGGCATGCAAATATTAGTGATGTTAATATGTTCAAAAAAATACATCACCAATATGTGCATGGCACATAAACGGTGTGCATATTAACATGTACTCACCGTAGGTAGGTGAGCATTACTGTAGAGCAACTTGCCATAACTTATTTTGGAGTGATAAATACTAAATACTACTATATTATCTATCCCTATTATTATATGTAATTTTTCATCTCATCTCACAAATATCATTTTTTCCTGGAAAGTTGTGACGAGCAAAAATATATTTAATCCACTTGCGTATTTTTATATGTAATTATTTTATTATTTTGAGAATAATTGTTATTTTGCATCTAATGTACATTTGTTTTCTCCATTCATATTTTTTTAATTAATTTTAACAATCTAGGTAAATATTATTGTTAGAATATCACTTGTGAGTTGTCCCACATCGTTCGTACATGGAAAATAGATCCACCTTATAAGTCTAATGGGTTACTCCTCCTTCCACCAATTGGTTTTGGGATAGAACCCCATTGGGCTTCATTTGGGTTTTCCCTCTTTTGGTGCACTTCATGTCAGTGGGACCGCACACGTTTTCCCCCAGTTTCTTACAATTATTATTATTATAATTTATGTAAAATTTAATACCCTTTTGAACACATATTTTAAAACTACTAATCATTATTTTTTATATTTTTCTACCATACATAATTAATTATCATTTTATATATATATATATATATTTGTTTTTTAAATATTATTGATTCTTCCGCTGACTTTATTTCACTCCTAGTTGAGCTGGCCCAGCTGGGGACATCTTATTTTTCTCCGTACGGCATTAAATAACACATCGCTTTCGTAAATGCAAATCAATATCTTACCAGGATTTTGTTGTGCGAAAAAAGTAAATTGGTACATTACTATTTCAACTGGGCTTTTATATAATAGACGAAAAACACGTGAGTCTGCCGAAAGTGATTAATCGGCCCCAATAATTTGTGTAAGCATAGAAACAGAATATTTTCACATCGATATAAAGAAAAATCAAGATTTGCGATTCTAAAAAAAAAAAATTGAGTTATTTTTTTTT